TCAGGAGGCGAAACAAGCGGTAAGTTCGCCAGCGAGCTAATTAACAGGCAATGCAGTATTAGTCAAGGCAGTTAGGAAAGATGCATCAGCCACGCAATACAGCTAATCAAAGTATCAAATTAAACTATGGCCAACCGCTGTCAGCAGAGCTCCGCATTGTTCAGTAACCTTTCACTGTCTGCTACGGCCTTCTTTCACCTCGTCCTCCTCCTCTTTATCCCAGTACCATCCTCCATTTCACCACCATTTTTGGGGCTAGTACTTGCTCCTCCACTTTGGTCACTGGCCTCGTTTCGCATCTGGACATATTTGCTAGTAAGGGGGAATGTCTATTACGATATCTTCATATCCGTACCTTAGTAAGTAAAAGGCAATAAAAGAAAATTTGAAAAAAAAAGCAAATATTTCGGATGGCAGTTAACACATTTAGCCACATGCGCTAGATGGAGGAAAATTAAATCCAGAAAAAGATTACTAAAAAACAAATTATGAGAGAATAAAAGCGACTTTTTAGGAAAGCAGTCACCCATAGCTTCCTGAGTCCGGAGTATGCGCGCACGCTGGAGCAACAGAGCAGAAAGATGTGCAAGTTATCCAGAAAGATGCATAGATTACAAAATAAGCTACAGAGTAGAAGTTAGTTAGGTGTTTAATTGAGCAAATGAAATACTTGCTTTTAAGACAATTGAGCAGAAACAGTACGTTATAGGTAGAGATGGCAGAAAAACGGAACAGTAAAGGAAATACGTGTCTGTTGCATTGGGTACGCGTGCCGCCTGTTATAATCCTCGGTTGTTTTTCAGGTGGTACAAAACGACATAAAACCATCTAGCTGACACATCTGGCTGATAAACTTCTGTGATTCATCCATTCAGGCATATGCTAGAAAGTCAAAACTACCATCAGCTTACTTCCGAGCAGCCTTTAGTTAGCAAGGTCAACAACTTTACTAATAGTTGAAGCTGCTGGCAAACTATTTATAGTTGAATCACTTCCTGAGGGCCTTTCTGCCTCAAAAAATTGTGATACGAGGTGAGTGACTCTGCGAATTGACTTAAGGCGCCCTGCTGTACCACAAAGAACTCATTCTGCAGATTCTACCAAGACGTAAACGAACTTGAAAAGGCAACGAAAAGTATACCGGGATAAAAAGTGAATGCGGTTGTGGTGCAAATACGAATCGAAATGTGCTCGGCACAGAACAAGCTTTTGTAATCGCTCTGTCTTCAAAGTGTCGAATCGGAAGGACTGTGCCAGTACTCCAGCATCGTGTTTCTTGTTAAAAAAAGGATTTCAAGCTGTCTTTTTTAGATTTAGGAAAGCAAAGTTTGACAACTGAGCGAAGAAAGAGCAAAGCGAGCGGAAGACAACGGGCACAATAGATTAACTTTCTATGTGAAAATTTAGTAACTTGCAATCCTTCCTCTGTCTTTTTCCGCTTCCTCTTTTCAAATGTTCCTTACGTCGCTATCTTCAATTCTTCTTTCCCAGAATTCCTGACCAGTGTCCATCCATTTGCCTGCTAGAGAACAGTGGACCAATCACCGATTCTTTCACTCGATCGAGCTGTCAAGTGACATGATTCGCATCCAAAGCAGCCACATTATGAGAACGCGCCGACTCACGAGTCGAGTTATTTCGAGAACTCATATCACGAGGCTCTTCTTTGTGATCGAATACGCGATACTCCGGATTGGTCATATACCAGTGTAACATCAAATCGTACAAATACTTGTATTCATCCTGCAAACAGTTTAAATCAATTTGCTTTTTAGCAAAATCGAAAGTGGACCATCGATAGGCTTATCAGCAGTTGTTTGCTGTTGACACTTGTTTCTTTGCGAGTGCTTCCGCCTCTCACGGAGAGCGAATGCGGAGGGGTTTTGGCTTCTGTCACTTGACCAAAATTGCCAAGATGGCTCAATGACCCATTTGAAAATTCGAGGCTGGTTTTACTACTAGATGCATAAACGGATACACACACATATATGCACACAAAATATAAGCAAACACATTCACTAATAATATTCCGACAATTTACTGCAATTCCCTAATTAGCACATGTAAAAAATAGCTTTGGTTCATTTCAGAATATCCTCAAAATAGCAAGTTTCTAGAGTAAAGGTTAAGCTAGAGCCTTTCTAATCATGCATAGCAAAAGAAGAATTGCGAGGCTACGTCAATATCACATATACTTTTTTTCAGACGAATCATCCGGCACACAGTTACAAAGCTAACAAACAACAATTCATTACCCTATCAACAAGTTGCGGCCTGTTCATGCGAATCAATTTGACGGCATGGAAAACATCCACTTCGTGGTCCATATCCATCTGGTCAATGCATACGTTAGCCGCTATGTAAATACCGCATCGATTTACACCATTGCTGTAATATTTTAAGTGAAAATTTAAACTTTAGAACTTCAAGAGTCGGTATATTATGCAGTTTTCGATGGAACGTCGCAAAGATCTAGAGTATTGCGGTGTCCTCAATATAATATGATTACGCACCGAATGCAACTATGCGAGGGCTTTTTTCACGCTTCTTGTCAAAATTCAGAAATCTAAAGCCCTTTTGTAGGCGACGTCTTTTAGCGGAGACACTATGAAAGTAGCCTAAGTGGCAACAAAAACACCCATTAGAAAGCCTGTCGATGGCTTACTCTTTCTGGGGTTGCTCAGAAGCAGGATGATAACGGGTTCGTTTTCCTAGCATTTGTCGAATACCAATTTACCACCGAAACGAATAAATAAATCGTGGAAGAACTGACTGTCCCTCTACCTTCCCATTTGACTCGTGACATTC